CATCATCATCATCAGCAGCAGCAGCAGCATCAGCATCATCAGCATCAGCATCATCATCGCCATTATCATTATCATCATCACCACCACAACCATCACCATCAACAACACCATCACCACCATCATCATCATACTCACCGGCATGGTCATCGTCATCATCATCATCAACAACAGAATCAATGCCATCATCATCGTCATCGTCATCATCATCCTCGTCATCATCCTCGTCATCATCCCCATCATCCTAATCCAAGGCATCATCGCCGGTGTCGTCATCATCATCAGCATCATGAGCATCGTCATAATCGTCTGTATCAGCATCACCATCATCATCGTAACAATCATCATCATAATCATCATCATCGTCATCGTCATCGTCATCGTCAGCAGTAACAGTAGCAGCATCATCAGCGTCAGCATCATCATCATCATCGTCATCATCAGCATCATCAGAATCGTCATCATCATCAGCATCATCACGATCGTGATCGTTATCATCAGCACAAACATCTTCTTCATCATCATCAGTAGCGCACTTGTTGACAGAAGGCTAGGGAGTGTGGATGGTGGGGAATGCTATTGGTACATATTGCTTCAAAATTTTGATGGGTGGATTGGTAACTACTGTCATAAGGGTCCCGGCTGTGTCGGCGAGTGGGCATCGGCTCTCTCGCCGAGGTGGACCACGTCACCCTCGCTCCTAGCTTGAGCTCTGCATAAGATCCATCCCTTAGAATCCTCCTCCCGCGCACGCCTCTGAGACAGCGCCCCCGCCGTGCCACCAAAATCTGGCCCCCCCGCCTGGGCAGCTGCCCCCGCCGTTGCTGGAGCGGCTCTTCCGCCACATAGCGAACGACGTCTGGGAGTACACGAACCCGTCCGGGTTTGCCACCTTAGGCAGCGGCCAGGCAGAAGGCAACTGCACCTCAACATCATGCCTGACCAGGGCCAGGCATGGTGGTGTATGGGTACCTTGTGCGGACATTGAGCAGGGGGGGTAGGAGGACGAGAAGGGGAGGCCCAGCTGAGTGGCAAGGGGGAAGGGGCACTCCACCAACTCCCCGTTCAATCCGTCATAGCCCGAACAAATATAGCCTGCCTGGCTGGCAGAGGCATCGCGCAGTCAGAAATCAACACACAGAACGAACGCAAAACACCGCATCGACCACAAGACATTCCGACGAAAACATGAGATGTTAGATCAGCGTCACGAAGAGCCCAAAGCATGCCAGGCAATCGCGCATCCGCGGTTAACGCCATAAAACGGCGAATGTCTCAAAGAGTTCTTGGTGGAGTCTGTGCGTGGTGCCGCAGGCCGTGTGCGCGGTGGCGCGTGCTTGGTGACTCGGGCAAAGTGCTGTGTGCGTGGTGACCCGCGCGTGGTGCTGTATGCGCAGTAGCGCGTGCTTCATACCACGTGCAGTGTGCGTGCTGCTCTGGGCACGTGCTGCCGTCTGCCGAGTGTCGTGCGCGAGATGCCCTGTGGGTGGTGCCGTCTGCCGAATGCCTCGCACGTGGTGCCATGCGCGTTGCGCCATGCGTGAATGGTGCCGAGTGGTGTGCGTGTGCGTGTGTGTTGTTGTTTGGGGCGCGGTGCCACGTCAGATCCCTGGAAGATCCCAGGATGCTGCTGAAAACTCCATGGTAGCTCCCTGGAAGCTCATCCATGGACGCTGCATGGAGTCTCGCTGAAAGTACGCTGGCGGTCCTGGGAGTCCAACACAAGACCTCTGTCCTGCAGCGCCAGACTCCCGTTCTCGCTCTATCCTCCTTTCGCGCTCGCTCATCCTTCCCTCGAACGCTCCAGGCTGGAAAAACTGACGGCCAACCAGCCAGGGCTGAAGCGTCGGCACCGCTGGTCCCGTCCACGCTTTCCGGCTTCCTTCTTCAGGCTGGGTTCGCCCACAGCGACCGGCAACGAGCCAAGCAGGCTGGATATGTAGAGTCATTGGCCCCGCTATGGCTGCCACTGGGACAATCAAGAGCTCCACTCCGTCGAGCCAGCTCGGGTCGTCACGATGCCTCGCAATGGAGGCCTCCGCGAGGTACGTTGCCACCATCGCCGCAATCCACTCGCGAGCATGCAGCAAGCCTGGAAAGCGGCGTACGCTTTTAGCAAGGTGTATGCCAAAACAGAGCCAAGCCTCTGCACTGCATGGTTCTGACGCTGCTTCCTGGTCCTGCCCCTCCTCAAGATATCCGTCGTCATGATGGCCATCGGAATCGTCACTGTCCTCATTGTTGTCCTTCGGCCGCATAGCACGACTGAATCCTGTACAGTGGCTGCTGCTTGGACAAAGGACAAACAAAACAGGGCAACCCAAACGAAACACCTGCATGTGCACGTAGCCTGTTTGCCCGCCCGTGCGGCACAGCGAAACCAACATCGAGAAGCAGTTGGGAGTAGAGAGACATGATCCTACCGATGATTGACGATGTCATTGATGTACTATGTACTTGCATGTGGATGACGTTCACCCAATGCGGGCATCGTACCACTGTGAGGCGACTAAATCCGAACCGCCAAGTTCAAGGGTTTCTGTGTGGCTTCTGGCTCGAGAAGCCACATGAAATCACCTCTGTGAACCGCTCGACATCGAGATCTCATCCAAATAGTCACCGACAGCAGAGAGATCAGCCGAGCCAGCCCACTCCTGGCTCGCCAGTCGAATGCCTCCGGCGGCAGGTTCATGCCGTGACGACGTCGGCCCCGGTTTCTGCCACGGCGGGAGCCCATTCGGCCTTGAACGATCTCCGCCGTCAGGGGCCCCCAGATGCTGCCGACCCCAGCTTTCGGTGCGGCCCTCGCGGCGCGGAGGTGGGCTCCGTGGGCCCCCTGAGGCCCGAAACGAGCCCCACGAGAGGAGGGGAGCGGGAGAAGGAGGGGGGCGACATGGAGGGTGGGGATGAGCCGCGCGCAGCACGGGAGGCGCGACGCTCGCTTGTGATGCCTCCCTCGGGCACCCAACATGCACTACAGGTTCCACAACAAAGGCGGGGGGGGGGTATCTGAAGGATGGACCTCGGGGAGGGACGCGAGGAGAGCACCGTGCGCCTCCTCTCCGCGCTCCCAGCGCTCGAGATCCTTCGTCCTCTCGGTGCGCCCTCCTCCCTCTGCGCCTTTCTCCTACGGGGCCCCCAGGCGTGGGAGAGGCGTCGTTCATCTCCCGACCGCCCCTCCAAGAAGAGCAGGACGGAGGTGGAGGAGCTGGATGAAGGGGCCCTGGGACACACAAATAACTACACACAAATAACCGGATTCCCCATATTTTCATATATTTTCTGGGCTTCTGCCTTCCCCCTTCCACTTCCCACATTTTCCCAGATTCTCTGGGAATCGACGACTGGTTGTGTCTGTGTGCTCTCTCTCCTCCTGAGTGGAGGAGCTGGAGCACACACGGGGGGCACGCGCCGTCTCCACGCCTCGGTCAAAGGGGATCGCTGACGCGAAGAGAGGGTACTGGGCACTGGGCACTGGGCTGGGAAGCGGCACGGGGCCGGGAAGCGGCAACCAGAGGCCAAAAATGAAAGAGAAACTGCCGTCGGGGATTTGTGAAACGACGCCTGCATTTTGGAGGGAAGGGAGGGAGGAAGCGATTTCCAGGCTCCGTCGGCAACCCTGATGGCACACGTGGCTCTCGGCCCCTGGCAGGGCAGGTCTTTCGTCCCGGATCTTTCCTCGACGGCCCCAAAACCCAGACCCCGAAAACGGCCCCCAGACATGGAAGAAAACTGCCCCCGCCAACACGACGACCACGACAACGACCGCACCCATGACAACGACCACGAGGACCATCCTCACGACGACGACGACGACGACGACGACGACGACGACGACGACGACGACGACGACGACGACGACGACGACGGCGAGGGCGGCGAAAGTGGCGGCGGCGGGCGACGACGACGGCGAGGGCGGCGAAAGTGGCGGCGGCGGGGTGGGCGGCGGCGGCGGCGGGGTGGGCGCGCGCCCGTGACCAGCACGCGCGCCATGCCTGGCCGCCAGGAGGCGCCCCGGAGCCGCACGGCGTGCAGCTGCCGGCCCTCCTCGGGGGGGACAGCGTCGCCGCGTGCCCTGCCCTGCCCAAGGCCGGGCTCTAATGGCGCTGTGGCTCTATCGGCGATGCCTTGCCGTCGCTCGGACGTCCATTTCCCATGCACTTTTCGGTTTCGTGCGTTTGTTTTTTGTGCTCGATGGTCCAGGATGGTCCTCGATAGTTCTCGCCGAGAAAAAATGCACACGTCCGAGCGATGTAGATACTGGGAACCTAAATTTAGGAGATCACGAGCCACGCTTTCCTACAGCTCCGATCTGCGAACGGATCGAGCAAGCACGACACGGCGAACTGTGGGAAAGCCGAAACCTACATCACCGTCAGCCCGTCTGCGGCCTGCCTGTCCTGCGCTGGTGCCTGATCCAGAGGAGGTCTGCTCGCAAGCTCCGCCGAGCATGGATTGCAAGCAAACTTCTTGCGTCGGCGGCTAGGCAGAGCCACTGCGCTGACGAACGGAACGAAACGGGGCAGGCGTTGAGCGAATTGCGTCACCGTGCAAGGGGGGGGGGAGGAGGACGGCAAGGAGACGGCCGAGGGATTGCAAACAAACGAGGTCACCTGACTGATCGTCCCCCGCGGTGCGCGACGCGGGGTGATCTTCGCGCCCTCGCGCCCCCGCGCCGCCCTGTCGGTGAACGGCAGCCGCTCTAGCCCAGACCGACACGCGCGAAGCGCGACTATCTGAGCGCCCCCACCAGGTGAGGGGGGGGAGGCACCCGTGCGAGCGGAAAACCGACTCGGGTGAGCTGGCCCGAAGGCGCTGCGCAGTGACCCAACAGCTGAGGCCAGAGCCAAAACTGAAGCGCACAGAAAATGGAAGGGGCCCACCCTACAGGTTCGGAACACACCACATCGTTGAGCGGTGGTGCGGCCTCCCCTGAGCACAGCCACCCCCCCCCGCGGGTGACCTAGACGAATTATGGGTTGTCCTGTCGAAATTGAAGGAAACCAGAGTGCCTCATGCCATGGCGGGAACGCGAGGCAGCTGGCGGCCATGCAGGAGGAGGCGGGAGGGAGCGGGCGGAGGGTGGAGGAGGATCGAGGATGGAGGTTTCGAGAAAATTCTGATGTCTCCTAAGGCGCCCTCGTCGTCACGGCTGGATCCGCCTCGAAATTCCCGCCAGAGCGCCCTCTACTGGGGGTAAATTTCTAAGGGGGGATCAAGACCCCTCGCGCCGAGAACAAAAAAATCGACGGAAGGTTCTTGGCAGTTTGCGGCCTCTAGGGGCCCTTGCAGGGCCAGGGGACAGTCAAAAAAACGCATGGGAATAAAAAAAAGGTCCCAGGGAGGGGGTCGAGAGGTCCTGAGGCCTCTTGCCGAAGAAAAGCATTACATCGGAGGTTTGAAAAGGAGGTTCGAGAGTCGAGTCCCAAGGTTCGAGGATCGAGCTCTGGACGCTTCTGGGTGCCTTTCTAAGCATCCTGGGGCGCCCTCGTCGCTCTGGCTGGATCCCCCTCGAACCCAGAACACATCCCAGACCACACCGCAGACCATGTCCAAGGCCGCATCCTCCTCCACCTCATTATCGGCATCGTCATCATCACCGCCCTGATCGTCATCGTCGTCCTTTAGCATCACCAATCATCCGAAACGAGAGAACCAGCAGACCTCAAACTTATAGTCACTTGTTTTACCTTATTACACCTCCTCATCCTCCTCATCATGAACGTCCTTATCCTCCTCATCCTCCTCCTCCTCGTCATCAGCATCATCATCATCAGCAGCAGCAGCCTCATCATCACCACCACCGCAATCGTCGTCATCATAATCAGCAGCAGCATCAGCAGCATCATCATCATCATCATCAGCATCATCATCATCAGCAGCATCAGCATCATCATCATCATCAACATCATCATCAGCATCATAATCATCATCGTTAGCATCATCATCGCCGTCAGCATCATCGCCACCACCACAATCGTCGTCGTCATCATTAGCATCGCCAGCATCATCATCAGCATCAGCATCAGCATCACCATCATCAGCAGCAGCATCTTCATGCTCATCATCACCACCACCAACACCACCACCTCCACCACCATCATCCTCATCATCCGTATCATCATCAGCATCAGCAGCATCAGCATCATCATAATCACCATCATCAGCATCGTCATCATCGACATCATGATCAGAAGCAGCATCATCAGTATCATCATCCTCTTCATCATCAGCAGCATCGTCCTCATTATCATCCGCATCATCATCAGCAGCAGCAGCAGCACCATCACCAACAACAGGAACACAGTCATCTGCTCCAACAGCAGCAGCAGCAGCATCATTATCAGCAGCATCAGTACCAGCATCATCATCACCATCGCCATCACCATCACCATCACCAACACCAGCACCATCATCAGCAGCAGCATAATCCTAGTCGTCCTCGTCCTCGTCCTCGTCTTCATCCTCCTCATCCTCATCGTCATCAGCACCACCACCGTCTTCATCGTCCAAATCCTCAATGTCCTTGCCCTCCTCCTCCAGAACCCCTCACCCTCCCCCGCCCCTTTCCCTTCACCTCGCCCTTTCCGTCCCATCCCCTCCACCTCCCCCCTCCCCTCCTTTGCCTCCCTCCCCTCCCCCCTCATCTTTCCTCATCCTGGGGGGGGGGCAGAAAGATACCGATACCGCTACTCCCTGGGCCTCTCTTACGGTGCGTTCATATCAGGAATTCGAAGCGAACCCAGCCGTGGCAACGAGGGACGGGTATTGGTATCAGTATCCGTCCCTCCTCTGACATCCACCCCGCCTGCGCGTCAGTAGCCTCCTGCTGATGAAGGATGCTTTCGAGGGAGCGGCGCCGCAGCCGCCAATGCCCGAGCCCCCCTGCGCCAGCGTCGGGCGGGCCAGCGGGCGTCGGCCGGCAGGGGTGGGCATTACGTACACGTGTTCGGCAGGGAGCCTCACCGAAGACTGTCCCAGAGATTCCCAGAGATCCCAGAGGTCCTGCCCTGCTCAGAGCCTGGCAGACCGACCTGGCCTCGGCTCCAGGCCTGGGGAGGCGGCACCCACACGGCGCGCCCGGCAGAGCGAGCCAAGAGGAGCGGCGGCGTGCGCCAGCTCACCCCGGAAGAGGAGGGAGGAGGAGGAGGAGGAGGAGGAGGAGGAGGAGGAGGGAGGAGGAGGAGGAGGAGGAGGAGGAGGAGGGGAGGAGGAGGAGGAGGAAGGAGGAGGAGGAGGAGGAGGAGGAGGAGGAGGAGGAGGAGGAGGAGGAGGAGGAGGAGGAGGAGGAGGGAGGAGGGAAGAGGAGGAGGAAGAGGAGGAGGAGGAGGAGGAGGAGGGAGGGAGGAAGGGAGGGAGGAGGGAGGAGGGAGGAGAGAGGAGAGAGGAGGGAGGAGGGAGGAAGGAGGAGGGAGGAAGGAGAAGGGAGGAGGGAGGAGGGGCGGAGGAGAAGGGGGAGGGAGGAGGTGGAGGAGGAGTCAGCCCCCCAGTTGACCGGCTCCCATGCCAGGGGCACCACCCCCGAGCCCACGCGGACGTCCCGAGCGCGCCCCTCCATGGGGCCCCTGGATCGCAGCGCTGGCTGCGCCTATCCTCCGTGCGCCAGACACTGGATGGTCCCGATGACGCGTGCTGACGCTGGCGTGGGCCACGGAAAGACAGGACTCTCCCGCACGAGGACACGGCGCCCGTACGCGATGGCCTGCGCGGGCCGCCAGCGCAGCACACCGCGCGGAAAGGCGGGCGCTTGCGCGGGATCCTATGCGGCCGCAGCTTGCGCACAGAGGTCCGCGCAGTCGACCCCCGTGTGCTTGCGCTGTTCACGTGTCCGTTCACAGGAACCCTTCGCTACTGGGAGCACGGTGCACCGAGAGCCCCCGATGGCTTCAGCGCCCCTTGGCGCGCTCACCGCGCCTGAGAAGGGGTGTGGGCAGCCCAGCACCACCCAAAGAAATCAGCACGAACCTCCGAAAGCGTGTCCCCATGCCGCCCTATACTCCTCTAGATCCACGACCCCTCGGCCCCTACCCGATAAGAGGCCTCCCAGATGGGGTCCGAGCAGCTTGGATCGGAGGATCGCGCCGCATCGCCTACACCTCGCCGATGCATCGGCGACGTCGGCGATGCAGCGCCGCCGTCGGCGCGGAGAGAACGCCGGGCTCCACGTCCAGCCGCACCGCCGATTTGCCTCGGCGGTGCGGCGTGAGAGCCCCGGAGGCCCCGCCTGCGCCGCCAGGGGATGTGACCATCCGGGAGGCCTGGACCGACGGCCGCACCGGCCAGGCTTAAGTCGGGCGTGTCCCCCTACAGGGGGATTTTGGACGAGAAACAATAAGTATTCAAACAATACCCCAAAATTATCAAAACAATACTCAAATAAATAGTCCCCGAATTATGATTTAACTGTTTTGCACATTCCCCCTGTAGAGGGACAGGCCCGACTTAAGGCCAGGCACCCTCTTGTGGATGCCATGACAATGGACACCCTAACAGTCCTACCATCGAATTAAAAATGTGTTGCAAATGTCGGAAAATGTCCTGGAAATGCCTAAAACATCTTCTTTACATATTTAAAACATAATGGAAACATGTTTTAGGCATCTGGAAATTATTTGGCAATATGCTTCCTCTCCATTAATCGACTTCCACAACGATGGCCGCACTGGCCAGGCCGCTCCGCCCCCGCCCCCGCCTCCCTCCCGGGCGCCTGCGTGGTGGGCGACAGCACCTCCAGCGACGCGGCGCCGTGGGAGGCGTCCACCACGGACTGCAGGCGGTCCTGGATGTCCTCGGCAGCGGCAGAGGGGCGGAGGAGCCCGGGTCTCCCATACTGGGCCGGACGAAAGGGGGGGTACGAAATCTGCTGCATGCAGCCGGATTCAGCCCCACCGAGGGGCCCACTCTTCGATACATGACCGCCTCCGGCGCCAGGAGGCGCCGGGAAAATCAGCTACGTGAGCTGATTCTCAAACTCCCCCTTTGCTATCCCCCCCTTTCGCCCGGCCCGACTAATTATAGCCTCGCGCGTAGTGCCCCGCGATGCGCGACGCGCGGTTGTCTTCCGGGAGGGGCAAAGCATATCCATGGCAACCGCCGTTGAGAGCCCGCAAGCGTCTTCTTTATGCTCCTTGCTTCTTCGTCCGCGTCCTCGTCCTCGTCCTCGTCCTGGTCGTCATCGTCGTCGTCGTCGTCATCAACGGCGGCGTCGGCGTCGTCGTCGGCGGCGGCGGCGTCGTCGTCGTCAGCGTCGTGCGCTGGGAGGCCGCTGGCAGTCGCCAGGTGGGCGGGGGCCCAGCTGGCCGCGGAGAGAGGTAGCAAGAGAGCCCGGAGACGGCCTGAGCGCTGAGCGGAGACGACCAGAGGCGATCACAGCTGCAGGGAGCAAAGAGACCCTCAGATCCTGGCGTCGCCCAAAATAAGGAGCCGAACTATATACACAAACGTTTTGTCCGGTCCCGCACTGAAATTCGCACCGGAAAGCGGATCCTGGTGTATGCGGGATCCTGGTGTATACATTTTTCGCTATTGCCCCGGGAAAACGAAGAAACAAATATACACTACACCACCCCGACGTCGTCCCCGACCCTCAAAAAGTCCTGGGATTGACAAAGAGCCCGCCACTGGTAATGTATACGTTCCAGTTTCCGGCAAAACTCGTGACGGCCCGCTTTTCACCAGGTTCTCGACCGCCGGACGCCAGGTCCTGGCCCCAGGGCCATCAAAACAAGAGAACTGGATCCCGGCGGCGGGGAGGGGCTCGAGATTCCGGGGGCCCATGCCACAATTTAAGACTCGACGTCGGAGAAGAAGGGATGGAGGTGGAGCGAGGAGGAGAAGGAGGAGGAGGAAGAGGAGGAGGAGGAGGGAGGAAGAAATGGGAGGAGAAGGAGGAGGAGGAGGAGGAGAAGAAGGAAGGAGGAGGAGGGATGAGGAGGAGCAGCAGCCGCAGCAGGAGCAGCAGTAGGAGCCCGACTGGCCGCGGCCAGAGTTAGCCCGCCGAGCTCTGGTCTTTCCTGCCGCGCCCCACAGCTCGGGCCTGGGCTCCAGGACGCCCGCGGTGCAGCCGTGGGACTGGAGACCGCCTGGACGGGGCCAGAGAACACATCGGCGATGCATCGGCGATGCATCGGTTCACGCTGGGATGGAGATAGATTGCAAAAAAAACCTTGAACGAAGGATTGCAAAAAAACCCTTGAACGAAGGATTGCAAAAAAACCAGGATTGCAATCCTTCAATCCTTGGTTTTTTTGCAGGTCGGACGGAAAGAGGGTCAGCAAAGGGGCCCAAACCCCCCCCTCACGCCGTGCGGAGAAACGGCGGGAGGCGTTTCGCAGCTGTCGGCCTCCGGGGGCCCTCGCCGGCCCCTGGAAAGCCAAAGGACGCCTCGCGACGAAGATCTGGTCCCAGGGAAGGGCTCGAAGCCTTCAGGGCGTCACTGAAGGGGAACTGGAACACACAAATAAATACACACAAATAAAAATATCCCCCCATATTTTCCCATATTTTCTGGGTTTCTGTCTTCCCCCCCCACTTCCCATATTTTCCCATACTTTCTGGGAATCGCCGATTAATTGTGTCTGTGTGTTTTTTTCCCCTCCTGAGTCACGTTGTGAAAGCAGCATGGCTTCGGGGTCACAGTCGGGGCGCCGACCTGTGGAACCCTAGATATAAGGAACGAGGCCCCATGTTCCCAAAAGCTGAGCTTCAATTCCCCATGGAAAACAGTCGAGAAACCCAAGGCAGACTGCACCACAGTCCAGGAACGCCGAGCCCCTCCCCAACGAAAAGGGTTCCTTCTTCAGCCCCGTCTGCATGGGAAAGCGGGGGGGTCGCGAAGCAGCTCGCGCAGCTGATTCTCTGGGCGCCTCCCCGCGCCGGGAGGCGCGCCAACGTCGTGCCCAGGGAGAAGGCGCCTGGCGGCGGGGCCGGAACCAGCTGCATGCAGCAGCTTTCGTGCCCCCCCCGTTCGCCAACCTTAGGTCGGGTCTGTCCCCCTACAGGGGGATTTCCGACGAAAAATGAAAACCAAAATTCAAAAAATACCCCAAAATGGTAATGAAAAAAGTCCCCAGACTATTTTTCTACTGTTTTTGAACGTTCCCCCCGTAGAGGGACAGGATCGACTTAACGCTAACCCCTAGGCTAACCCCTCCTTTCGTCCGACCCGAATATCGGGTTCGGACCGCGAGCATCGCCGATGATGCGGCGCGATCCTCCGACACAATCTGCGCGGAGCTCACGTCGCGGGAACGTCGGCGTCGATTCCTCGCACCGCGTGGATCGATCAACCCTTGGCACGGCGGCCGCTTTCCGATAGCGCCGATCTTTCCACGTCGACCGCTTCTGGGCCACCGGCGGCCTCCAGTCTTTCACGCCCGCGGCAGGGTCGCCGCCGCGTGGACACGACACGGACCTGCCGTGCTCCAGCCCCTTCTGGGTGGGCTTGAGGCGAGGTGTGGCTGCTGGTCCTCAGAGATGTGCTCCGCTTCTGGAGGCCGTCTCTCAGCCCCAGGGAGCCTTCCAAGAGACGCTGAGGGTATGGAGCTAGCGGCCTCGGGGAAGGTCGAGATCTCAGTGGGGGCACACGTCACGACAGAAGTTGCGAAGACGGGGGAGAGGAGGAGGAGGAGGAGGAGGAGGAGGAGGAGGAGGAGGAGGAGGGAACTTCGAGCTTGAATGGGCGATGCATCGCCCATCGGCCCCCCGAGGGCGAAACCGCACGTCCCTGGGCGGGGTGGGCTGTCGGGCCCCTGTCGGCGATCGATAAACGACTGGGGGTCGATGCACTCCTCCCCCCCTTGGACGAGTCCCTCCCGTCCTGCCCCTTCTGGGCGAGGAGGAGGAGGAGGAGGAATAGGAGGAGGAGGAATAAGAGGAGGAGGAGGAATAAGAGGAGGAGGAGGAATAAGAGGAGGAGGAGGAATAAGAGGAGGAGGAGGAGGAGGAATAAGAGGAGGAGGAATAACAGGAGGAGGAGGAGGAGGGCCTGGAGGGGCGCCCGCAGGACGAGCTCGCGGCGCGGGCCCCGCGCAGGGGCCCCACGTCCCGGCCGCGCCAAGGCTGGCGGGGGGGTGCGAGGCGGGGATGTATCAAGATCCACAGCCTGGGAACCAACGTCCCCTGAGATCCGACGCTCCCAAAAAGTTGGAGCAGGCGGATCTTGACAGTTTTCGGCCTCTGGGGGCCCTCGCCGGGCCTCGGGAGCGTCAAAAAACGACTCAGGACGAAAAACTGGTCCCAGGAAGTGGTCCGGACCTCCGGGGCCCACGCATCGAAAAAATTAGAGCAGCCGGATGTCTGGGTCCTGGTGCCCCAGCAAGCGGTGGATATGGATATGTTTTAGCCTCCGGGGGCCCGAATATGTCCATATCCACCGCCAGCCGAGGTCCCCGAAAATTGATCCTCCAGGCGGTGGTCATGTATGAATTCCCACCTCGGGGGGGGCAACAACCCATCAGATCCTGGCGTCGCAAGTAGGTGGCGACATCCGAACCCTACCCCCACCAACCACAAATTCTCCTCAATCGATGGGAGGCGGGGCTAGGCCACGTGTTCGACGAGTTCCGAACCCTACCCCCGACGCCCATCGAGTTGCCTGAATCGTTGACTGGCGAGAGCGAGGTTTGGATCTCGCCGCCAAACCAGCGATGACGGGGGGGCACCAACACAGCAAGACAAAAAGCAAGGCTGCAAGCTGTTCAAAGGTTCCAGCGTCCAGGCGCCGCTCCCTGGCCCCGGGGCTGTCAAATTACGCTACCGAGGAACCCCACATACTTATACTATGGCTGGAGTGATGAGAGCTGAAGTGAAGCATGTGATAATGATGATGGTGGCCGTTGCCCCGCCGATACCGCTGTGCCCTGGACGACCGTCACGGATAGCGGCCGCGGTGAGAGACCACCCCCTGCGCACCCCCTTATGGTGTCGAGAATATGCCATGCCTGCTGTGCCCTGGACGACCGTCACGGATAGCGGCCGCGGTGAGAGACCACCCCCTGTGCACCCCCTATGGTGTCGAGAATATGCCATGCCTGCTGTGCCCTGGACGACCGTCACGGATAGCGGCCGCGGTGAGAGACCACCCCCTGCGCACCCCCTTATGGTGTCGAGAATATGCCATGCCTGCTGTGCCCTGGACGACCGTCACGGATAGCGGCCGCGGTGAGAGACCACCCCTTGCGCACCCCCTATGGTGTCGAGAATATGCCATGCCTGCTGTGCCCTGGACGACCGTCACGGATAGCGGCCGCGGTAAGAGACCACCCCTTGCGCACCCCCTACGCTGTCGAGAATATGCCAAGCCTGCTGTGCCCTGGACGACCGTCACGGATAGCGGCCGCGGTGAGAGACCACCCCCTGCGCACCCCCTTATGGTGTCGAGAATATGCCATGCCTGCTGTGCCCTGGCGACCGTCACGGATAGCGGCCGCGGTAAGAGACCACCCCCTGCGCACCCCCTATGGTGTCGAGAATATGCCATGCCTGCTGTGCCCTGGACGACCGTCACGGATAGCGGCCGCGGTAAGAGACCACCCCCTGCGCACCCCCTATGGTGTCGAGAATATGCCATGCCTGCTGTGCCCTGGACGACCGTCACGGATAGCGGCCGCCGTGAGAGACCAGCCCCTACGCACCCCCTACGCTGCTGTGCATGTGCTGTGCTGTGCTGTGCTGTGGTGTGCTGTGCTATGCTGCTGTGCTTTGCTGTGCTGCGCTGTGTGAGAAGGAGAGAGAGGTGAGGTGTGAGTGTCGCGGGTGCGGCGCGGCAGTGAAGAAATCCAGAACCCCACGAAACATGTGGGGAAAAGCCATCTGGGGCGAAAACACGACTTCACAGAACGGGTCGAGAGCCCTGGGCGCCAACAGCCCCAAGAGGTTGCGGCGTCGGAGGCGAGGGACTGTCCACCTGCACAGGCTCTGGCCAGGCCAGTCCTGGGCACAGGACCGGTAAAACCCAGCCTCCTGCACTGGTCAAAGAGGCTGTGGACTCCCAGCCCTGGACCCAGCATCAGCGCGCCCAGGACCCGTGCGGGTGGATGGCCGGCGCCCCCCCGGACTGTGCGACAGCAGGGGCCTCACCCGCTGGGGCTCTCGCAGTGGAGGTCGTAGTAGCGCCTCTTCATCGCACGGTACTTGGCGAGCTTGATCGTCGCCTCCATCTCCCTCTGGTGCCAGCGGAGGTGCGCCACGGTCCTGGGCGTCCAGTCGGCGCGATCCCTGCGCAGCCACGCCTTGATGCGCCATACCTCTCGGCGGCCGAGCGGGACGTCCGGGAGGTCCCGCGCGGCGTGGCAGAGGGCCTTGAAGACTTTGAGGACCTGCCGTCGCAGCGGCACCGCCGTCTCCTGCACGCACATCGGCGCCCGCCGCCCAGGAACGGGCGGGTGTGCCACGCACGCCTTGGGCCGAAGCGTCTGTGGAGGAGGCGGAGTGCCGTGCCCAGGCCAGGGCAGCGTGGTCGGCACATGGCCACAGGCCTCATCCAGGAACGCTCTCGCTGATGAAAGACCGACTGAGAGGCAAACGCAAAGCCTGCAGCCCACACAACGAATACGAAGTCGGCGAATCTGGGGGCACAAGCGCACGGGAGTACATTCTCGGCGTCGGCCTTGCTCGCGGAGGCGAAAGCCGAGACCATCAGGGGTTCTGGCCCCTCGGGGGCCCCTGAACTGACCGAAGCTGGCGAGCTCCCCCAAAAAACGGCCCTGGCATCCAGAGAGTGACAGAGGCTGGCCAACATCCCCGCCTGCGCTCACCTTTTTTCCTGGGTCGCGACCTTGGTCGAGCCGAGCGAAACTCGCAGGACGAGCACTCGCCGTCTTGCACGCCCAGGCTTGAGCTCTCTCCACCTCGGAGCGACCAGGACCAGACTGGCAGGGCACAACTACTCGAGGCCCCGTGGCCATTTGTGCCTACCGGCCTATCTATGTACTACCTGGAGGAGTGGAGCTGCAAGCCCCGCAGGGTGCCGACGAACGCAGGGTCCAGTTGCTCGCCGAACAA